AGATCTGATTTTATGAAGAACTTAGTAAGTTCAGTTTCAAACCATTCTGTAAGTGTGTGAATGAACTAGAAGGAAATTAATCTGTAAAAATGGAAGGAGTAAGGATTAACTTGTAAAATTGTCATGAAGTATTTTGAAGATCACTGAATGTATGGAAGATAAAATGGTACCCAGCTGAATATTAGTTCGAACTCGAGAGCCTTGTTTTTTACAATATAGTTCTTAAATATTCAGGTGTTCTTTTAGTGGGGTCAGCTTGTCCTGGATATCTTACTTAGAATTTGCCTCACCGTTTTCTTCTGAAGCTTTCTGCAGTGCTTTTCTGTCTTTTGCCTCAGATACTTTTAAACTTATTTCCATCCCCATGTTTCTCAATTTCTTATTCTCAACCAAACGTTACACAAGTAAGCTTACTTTACATGACTCCAGTGTATGTGGATTGTAAAAGCATAGCTGAAATATTCTGTTATCACTACATCTAAACTCATACGTAGCGAACTATATAAAGCAGTTACTTTTCAAAGATGGAGTTCTGTGGGGGCTTTGTGTACTTCATCCATCTCTCATAGAATCCATTGTTTGTCTACAGAAATGCATAATTTTATAACATGTTGCTACTGAGGAAGAATGCCCAAGTATTTTTCAACTTAAAGTAGAAAAAAATCTATGTACTATTGAAACAGGGCTCTGGATTGATTGGGCAGTTGGGATAGACCATAACCTTGACCTTTTTTCTTCTGTTTCCAGTACAAGAGAAATTGCCTTCTGCAGAACTGGTCTCTTCAAGGAAAAATCTTTGCTTTCATTTTGTCTCTTCCATTCCTCCCCAAACATACCTGTTTTCTTAGAAGCTGATTTAATTTGGAGCTAAACAATTTGTGCCTGTTTCTTTTTCATGTGATTGTGTTTTATGTGCATCTCAGTGGCAGTGCTGGAGAAGCAAAACTGCTCTGCAGAGATTTGAAAGGGCTATATCACATCAGGGACCAAAACCAATGTATTCTTGGTGGAATGTTTTCACATGTGTTGAATTGCTTTAAATCTTGTGTATCTATCCTGAGGTTGAAAGAGTATGGGGAGAAGTATTACAGTTTTTTCTGCTCTGCACTAAAGAAAATGGGCACTTTAAGAAACATATCCATTGTACCATAAGATATATGGTGGATACTGATACACTGTTCAGTTAAAACTTGAAGTAAATGCAGTTGAACCAAATACTTAAATAATAGGTTAGGATTTTAGTGGGACATGGGACAGATATCTATCTCTTAGGAGTATTGTTTCAGGATCTTTAACTACCACATGTGGTCATGGTATCGAAGTGTCAGACCGGAAGCGAGGAAGAAGCAGTATGCTGGTAAGAGACATGGGGGCCGCTGTCTTGGCAGGACTGGCTGGGGGTGTAGTGCCATCTCCTGACTCACTTAGTGTCTCTTTCTGCTGGGGTAGCGTTTTCCTTGTGTCTCCCATCCCAGTACTAAGCCTGACCTTGTTTAGCTTGAGGTCTGAGGGTACAGGCTGATGCCATGGCTGCAATATAACAGAGTAAAGAATCACTTCCTAAGTGCCGTTATCAGTATAACTGCAATTTGAGCAAGAGGTCTTGTTTACTTCCTGCAAAATTTAAAACATTTTTCTTGTTCACATCGTGTCTTCACATCGGTAATTTGAATTTTACTGCATAAAGATTGAATATTATGTTTGGTCTTATTTACTAGATCTTACAGCAGAAACTTTTTGCCCAAACTTCAGTTACTTTTAACTTCCTTTCATGCTATTCTGTGGTGTTATAGGTTTCATTTTCAAATATGTATTATATGCCAAAGTCATCTTGGATTCTATGGGCTTAAGTTTTTTTTTGTGGTCTTCTCATAGAGACAGTACAGTAATGTAGGGTATAAACAAAACCATTAACCAGAGATCAAGGCTTACATGCTAGTAAACTTTAGATACTTTCAGACATCCCAAACTTCTGAAACTCGCTTGTCTTCGGTGTGAAAGTAGCTTTTTGTAGAAGAAGAGTAGTATGTACAGGAAACACAACTGTATTTTTATCTGAAATAATATATGTAGCTTCTGGGTGCCTCTTGAATCTGTTAAGTTATGTAATAAAAGCCTTGTAAGATTGAGATCTTTAATGTTTTTAGATCAACATGATGCATAAGTTTAAAACTGCATCTGTTTAAAGGGATTTATGACTAAAACTGCTTGTTTTTCTACAGAATTGTCTGGTGTTTCTCAGCTTGAAGAAGATCTGCAGTCATTATTGATCCTCTTTCTTGGCGTTACCATTTTTGAAGTGAAGTTTGCCTAGCTTTCTAGTGTGAGCTCTCTTTTCAGCCATCTTATAAAAAAAGAAAAAAAATTTTTGATCCATAAAGTAGACAAGCTATAGCTCTACAATGTCCAAGTCATTCCAGCAGTCATCTCTGAGTAGGGATTCACAAGGTCATGGGCGTGACCTCTCTGCAGGAATAGGCCTTCTTGCTGCTGCTACCCAGTCTTTAAATATGCCAGCATCTCTTGGAAGGATGAACCAGGGTACTGCACGCCTTGCTAGCTTAATGAATCTTGGAATGAGTTCTTCATTGAACCAACAAGGATCTCATAGTGCACTGTCTTCTGGTAGTACCTCTTCCCATAATTTGCAGTCTATATTTAACATTGGAAGTAGAGGTCCGCTCCCTTTGTCTTCTCAGCACCGTGGAGATGCAGACCAGGCCACTAACATTTTGGCCAGCTTTGGTCTGTCTGCTAGAGACTTAGATGAACTGAGTCGCTATCCCGAGGACAAGATTACTCCTGAAAACTTGCCTCAGATCCTTCTACAACTTAAAAGGAGGAGAGCTGAAGAAGGTTATGGTAGAGATGGCAGATCATCCACACGGGAACCACCATACAGAGTACCTAGGGATGATTGGGAAGAAAAAAGGCATTTTAGAAGAGATAGCTTTGATGATCGTGGTCCTAGTCTCAACCCAGTGGTTGACTATGACCATGGAAGTCGTTCTCAAGAATCTGGTTATTATGACAGAATGGATTATGAAGATGACAGATTAAGAGATGGAGAAAGGTGTAGGGATGAATCTTTTTATGGTGAGACTTCGCATAACTATCATAAATTTGACAGTGAGTATGACAGAATGGGTCGTGGTCCTGGTCCTGAGAGATCTCTCTTTGAGAAAAAGAGAGGTGCTCCTCCAAATAGCAATATTGAAGACTTCCATGGATTCTTACCGAAGGGTTATCCCCATCTGTGCTCTATATGTGATATGCCAGTTCATTCTAATAAGGTGAGTTATGCACCAGATACTTCTATTTTCCTTTACGTTGTAGTATCTGTTCTGTTTTTACCTATTTCTTTAATTATTTCTATAGCCTGGTTGCTTTTGAAATGATCTGAAAGTTGGTTTGAGAGTGAAAAAGGCACTTGGTTTATTTGCAAGGTAACTGTTAACAAACATTGTAAACCAGGGCTTTACATTAATGTGTTTTATTTGCCCAGATTGCTTAACTTCAAGTCAAACAACTGTCATCTACTGGGATATCTTATTTATATTTTACATCTACATGTTCTCTTAACCACAAACATCTGGCATTTAAGCAGTTTTTGGGTGGGTTTTTTACTTTTTGTTGGTTTGGGGTTTTTTTGCAGTGTATCTACTGTGCTATTCAGGAAGCTAGTTTCAGCTCTCCTCCACATCTGTCTTGATTGCTGATTTATATGTAGTTAAGATGCGTTCTTGCACAGTTCTGCTTTTTCCCTGTCCAAAGGGAAAGA